TCAATCTGAGTGTTTAGAGGATTGCTCTTTATGTTAATGGGTCGATGAACTTAGGATTCTTTCATCTTTGAACATAATTATGGAAGCTAATGAACAGACTGTACTCCCTGTTTATAGATTTATTTATTGTAATTTTGAATTCAACTGTCCTCTCCTTTTTAATCTTCTCCGTAGGTGTGCTAGTTTGAATTTTGTTGGGACACTGCTTGGGGTCTCAACATTGGTCCCGCTATGATCCTGTCACTGAATTTACATGCACTCAGAGTAGTATTCCGTACTAAGACTAGCCGACTTTCTACATATGCTTATTAGATAACATGCCATCAAATAGCGGTCCTTAAAAGTCATAGATTAATGTGCTTCAGTATCTTGTCAGTTGTGTTGGTTAAGACAAATAGAAATACCAAAGTAGGCATTGTCATTTCCTTGTCAGAAGGTAGTGAAGTGCTTCTTGGTGATCTTATTTTTTCAATTTCAAATGCTACTGAACAGATTTGATACTCTATGGGAGTGGATATATTTGATAGTTCTTTGCTTGCTAGTTATACATTTTCTCATGGTTGTTGGGAGGTACTAATACTTTTATTGGTTGCTTGCAGAATGAGTGCTGTTGCCTATCTTGCTAGTTATTTGGCTCGTGCAAAGTTTTTGTCTATCTCATCTGTTGCTGAATATGTAGAAAGGTTTACTCGATGAACCTAACCATCTTCATCTTTGCATACAATACTTTATAGTTTTAAGTTGCTCCCATTGGTCAATAGTAAATTGAGGCACATCTCAAGTCATGGATTTCTTTCGTTTTGTGCGAGGATCAGTTTGGTTGAATGGTGTTCCACGTATTGCTCCAACCAGAGTGGTGGCATCAATCCAAAAGCTCACAAGGAATTTTATGCTGGGTGCCAGGTATTTGACAGCTTTGTTGTAGTCAAAACCTTTAATGGTCTGCCCCACACCCTCACACACACAGACCCTTGTTCATTTTTGTGAAGTTATTTGTGTTGGTTTCTTTTTTTAAGTGAAAGAATGACTATTATACTATTGTAGTGTCTATCTTGAGACCAAGAGAATGGATCAGTCTCAATTCTGTAACCGGCAAATGATTCTCTTTAAGTACTCTTGGTATTGTTTATATTGTTTCAGGAGTGCAGGGCTTTTTTCTGTTAGTGTGGATTTGATTAAAGGCTTTCCGAATTATATCTCTGGGGCTAATTTTATTTATATACCATGTGAGTGCTGGGAAGGGGAAAGGGAAGTGTTGGAAAGTTAACTTCCATAGTCTTTTGTGCTTTTTTGTGGGAAACTTGTGAGAGAAGTGGATAAAAGCTTTTTCTTTAAAAAGGCCTCTTCCAACTTAAATTTTGCAAAACGTGCAGGAAACTTAGAAGGAAATTTTAACTTTACAAAGCACAAAATTTTCAGAAACTTCGTTGACATCCAAACAAATTGTTACTGATTCTGTTCATTGTAATGCAGGCCATGATGTACATACTTTGTTTTCGCATGAGATCAATGCTTGCTATTCCTCGTATCAGGTCACGGCTCTCAAAGCACATAGAGGATATCTTGAGGCATCCATTGAGCCCCTTAATGGTAATGCATTCACACTCTCTCTCTCTCTCTCTCTCTCTCTCTCTCTCTCTATGGATTTCTTTGTTTTATATTTTATTTTTATTTTTTATTAGTTCTTGTGGATGGAATATATGTGCTGTATGCTTAGAGAGCATAAGAAAAATAAATTTGAGTGAGATTAGGTGATTCAATGGAATTACAGTGCTTTAGATATAGAGGTTAGACCGACCATGTTGTATGGATAGAGTGTTGGCCGGTCAAGAACTCTCATGTCCAGATGATGATAGTAGCTGAAATGAGCATGTTGAGATGGATGTATGAGCATACCAGATTAAATAAGATTAGGAATGAAGTTATTCGGGATAGGGTGGAAGTGGCCCCCTTGGAGGATAAGATGCGGGAGGCGAGGTTGCGCTGGTTCGGGCATGTTAAGAGGAGAAGCACATAAGCCCCAGTTAGGAGGTGTGAGAGGTTAACGCTGGTGGGTATGAGGAGGGTTAGAGGTAGGCCAAAGAAGTCTTGGGGAGAGGTGATTAGGCCGGATATAGCGCAGCTGGAGCTTACTGAGGATATGACCCTTGATTCCGGGTGTGGAGGTCGAGGATTAAGATATAGAAGGTTAGCAGGTAGTTGAGCGTTTCCCTTTGTCTTCCTTAGTTCGATAGCGTTAGTGTTAGTTTGTTATCCCTTTATTCTTAGATTGTTGTTACTACCGTTTAATTGCTTCCTTGGCTTTGGTCCTCTTTTTATCTTGTTAATACTTGTTGCCATTACTTCTTTTATCTTTTCTTTAGCCGGGGGTCTTTCAGAAACAACCTCTCTATCCTCCAGTACAGGGGTAAGGCTGCGTATATCTCACCCTCCCCAGACCCCGCCCCCACGTGTGGGAATTCACCGGGTATAGAGGTTCTGTCTTTCGGAAAATGGCTAGATGCAGATATAAATTAAAATAGAGGATTAAGGGGGGGCGTGGAGTGATACGCAATGTTATCAAAATCGAAAAGCGCAAAAAAGCTCTAATGTCCGTTGGGGCTTTAAGCGCAAAGCACAAATAAAGCGTGGGCTTTAATGAAAAAAGGCGCAACCGGAGAAAAAGTAAAAATATGTATATGCAGTCCAAGACTAATAATTATAAGCATGAATAACAAATATATGGACAAAGAAATTGGAAAAAAATTTACGATAAAGTGAAATATCAATTGTTTAATGTCGCCTTTTCATGATTACACTCATTGACAAGGAAAAGTATGCCTTAGAGCCTTGATGTGATACTAAAGCGCCCACAAAGCGAGGCAAAGCGCTCAACATGTTTTGAGCCTCGCTTCAGGGCTTAAGCGCGCTTTAGGCGCGCCTTTGACAACACTGGTGATATGGTGTGATGAGATGCAATAGGAGGATGTTTGTCAAAGTGAAACAAGTTCTACAGAAATTGTTGTAATACCAGCATGTTTCAGGGAACTAAAATGTTGGGCTGAACATATCAAAACAATGTGTTGCAGACATTAAGATGGATGTGCAGCTAGCATAATTAGGCAAGACTAGGAATGATCACCATTAACAAGCAAAGATTGACCGAGATGGTATGATAATGTCTTCCATCTCCAAATACACTCATTCGTGTGTGACATTGAGCCCGTTTGGATGGGCTTATTTTAAGTGACTTTTAAGCATAAGCCATAAATTAGGAATTCTGACTTTTGGCTTATTTTTGGTCATTTTAGCTTAAAAACAAGTGCTTAAAAGCACTTTTTTACTTTATCCAAATACTACAAAATTGCTTAAAAGCTATTTTGGCTTAAAAACACTTAAAATAAGCCAATTCAAACGGGCACATTGTGATGATTAAAGGTGTTAACTAAAGTCACATGGAGCAAACTTTTAAAAACTTAAAATCTCTTGGGATTCATGCGGATTTACCAAAGAACATAACATAGTGGAAGCAAACTATTCAGATAGTTGATACCAACTAGTTGATATTAAGGTCTATTCATTGTTGGTTTCATATTGCATTGTCCGGTATTTTTAAGTATTCTTTTGAGTTCGGTTAGATATTTGGTAGCCGATCCCAACTAGTTTGTGATTGTTCTGTTGTATAAGTTCATTCTGTATTTTCTTTGATATTAGTGCTCTCTAACGTAGCCAATGGTTGTATATTTTTCTCTGTTAGTGGATTCTCTACCTTTTGTTGATTCTTGTCTCCAATAAAATATTTTTTCACAGGTATGCTTGCCATCAGTAGTGAAAGAATTTCTTCGGTTGGCAAAAGTAACTAATCTTGATGTGCCTGATAACTTTGTATCAAGTGGTGTGCTCGAGTCTGATCTTTCAGTCTCTTTTGGTGGTAGAGAAAGGCTTGACATGTTTTTCCCATTTGATCCTTGTCTGCTATTGAGATCTGACAGGTTTGTTTCTACATTGGACTATTAACTTCTCAAGTGCATTAATTGGGTTGATCTTGATATTCAAGTACCTTAGGAGATAATATTTGTTCTGCTATTCGTATTAATTAGTATGTTCTTATGTCTCATCTTATTATATGTTTTGGAAGATTCATCCGGCCAAATTTTGTGTACTGGTCAATGGTTCGGAGCTCATATGACAACGATGAGGATGATGATGAGGGTACTAGTGATGAAGACGATATTGAAATCTGTACTGCAGGGAAGGGGATGAATATAGCTGATGGAGTCGCCAGAAGTTATGATCAGGATGTAGATGAATTTGATAATGAAATGAGCAAAATGTCCATAACACCTAAAGTTGCTCAATGGTTTGGAGGTGAATTACGACCTGACATGCAGATGCCTTCAAGAATCAGACCATGTCCGGAGTCCTTGTAGAGATTATTCTGTCTGTTTGATTGTCATGAAAGAGGAAATGCTTGCCCTTGCATGACAAGAGTCTGACCATGTCATTAAGAGTTGGAAATGCTTGTCCTTGACCGTGGTTGGCCGTGAGCAAGACGTGAAGATAATGCAATATTTCGTTGGACTCGGGATTCTTCAGGCCTCCACTCCTGCCTGCTTCACATCCCATGAAATGTTAAGAGGTCAATTTTTGTATTTATAGCATAAGCTATTTGTAATATGTAGCAATATTTCTGATTATCAGAACTAATGGTTAAAATAGATGAAGTTCTCTTGTATTCTCTTGTTGGTGCTAATACTTACACGCCCAATATAAGAGTGTATATTTGGAAATGTAATGCTCCAGGCGAAGAGTGCAAAACAACTATATTTTCTCTCATCTCACTTTATTAGTATAAATGTTATTTAATTTCCACCCTTAAAATTTAGTGCTGATACCATATGGAAACTTTACACCCACTCGAGCAAAGTTGCAATATATCTAAGACACCATATTATCCATAATCACACTTGATTATATAATAATTATTATTATTATTTTAAATTTATAGCTGATACTGGGAGTACACAGAAACTTTACATTCCGACTCGAGCAAAGTAGCATTATATGTATGACATAGTGTTCTCCATAGAAAATGATAGCATTATGTAACCTATTTAATGGCAACAAACCACATGCCTCTTTTACACGTTTTCAGATAGTAGGCTGGGACGGAAAAATCTTTATCATGATTACACTGTAATAATGAAATACTACTAAATAAACAGACTGCACAGCTTTCTAAAGGTTGAGGTATCAACACGAATTCTGGAAGCATAAGAACAGCACTCCTATTTATAAGGTTCTCTCATCTCCAGGGCAAGTTAGCAACTCCAGGACTATTATTTGAAGTTTCAACAACCTGATTATGAGGGCTAACAGGCCCACCACTCGACTCACTTAGGGTTCCGAGTGATGGAGGACTTCTGGCCGCTGATGTTAATGTTGCTGGTGTACCAAAGGCATCGGAATTCCCTGGCTTTCGCTGCCTCTGACCTTCCGTGCTGAAGCTACCAACAATAACCTGCAGCAAGTAAAAAAGTCGGACTCCTTGTGCCAAAATAAGAGATGTGATGGAAACAAAACTAATCCGGAACATATTAAAAATAAGTAGTACATATTTGGCATAAAGTTCCATGTCAAACCTGAACAGCAGCTGCCGCTGTAAGAAGCCCTGCCACACCGCCACCCAAAACTCGGCCATCTGGTCCAGCTAGTGACACACTCAAACCACCTGTTCTGCTGCGTTGACCACCAGATTCCGAGAGAAGAAAGGAACCAGACAGAGTTAGGATCTCAAACCGTCCCTGTACAAGTTACCCAATATTTTTGATTCAGAATGTGATAGCGTTATCGTTTGACCCATGAGAGGACATGTGATGGTACTGAATAATATACAAGCATGTCTTAGCCAAGAGCGTCAAACACTTGATCGAGTGGTTAACATCATACTATACAAGACATCAAATTAAATCTAAGGTAGACCAGCCTATGACCTTGGTCTGTTGAATTCAAACCAGGCAAAACAAATGCTAAACATGAGAGTCAGTATGGTAACTCATTTGTACACTAATCTCTATTTATGCAAGCAGAAATATTAACATGGAAATACAAACCTCATAAGTTACAGTTCCACCTGATGTTGCTGCTTGCCAAAGTGTTACGTTAGATATGGAGCCATTGGCTGACAGAATGCACACTGCTTGTGAGGTACTTTGGGAGAATGACATTAGTTTTGCCAACACATCCTGAGAAGCCAAAAAGCTAGAAATATTGATTTGAATATTCAAACATATAGGGGATCTGGAGTTTTTATATCAAGTCGATTCGTAGAGTTAACCCAAATTCACACATTAAGTTAAACTTACTCCAATCAGACATTTCAACCCAAACTTCACTTCAGAATATCTAAAGAAGACCATTTAGTCAGTGAAATTACAGAAATACATTTATTTCACGGATAGAAAGATATTCACGCTGTACCTTAAAAGGAGTAAATCATTTTGAACAACTAATGCATTTGTTTCGCGAATAAAAAGATTTGCTGTACCTTTAAAGGAGTTAATCATTTTGAACTATAAAAACAAGGCAAGAAGAAAGTGATAATAATAAGTCCACGGAACATACTCAAAAAGCATGACTAATACTAGCTTTAACCCTACTAACAAGAAAATTGAAAGACAAAAACACAAATCACCTGCTGATCAAGAGAGATTAAATTAAGACCGTACCTCTCCAGCTTTTATTGTAATAACATGTGGTCTAAATCCAACCCCTGCTGCTGCTGATCCTGCAAATAGAGTATCCCATGAACGACTTGAAATTTGGCAGAATGCACATAACAAAGCCGCTAAACTCCAAAATACAAGATTTCAGCAAACAAACTCTTTTAAATACCAGGTTCAGATTTGGTGATTAGCATAAGAGCGGAATGCGACTCTTTCAGCTAAACTTCATATTAAAGTAAGCTAACAGGATAAGTAAGAGTTAATGAGTTTTTACCCTTCAGCAGCTCCTTAAAAAAAGTTCCAATATATAATATCCTAATTTCACAGCAGTCCCAATGAATAAATATGCAGTAAATAGAATGCATCCCCTTTCTCATGCACCCTTAAAAAAAGATTTCCCCTTTATCTTATTAAGTGCAAAATTTAACCAAAATCAATAAGAAAAACAATAGTAGTCCCTGATTATGTACAATAATTTATCACAAATTCACCCACATCAAGTTGAAAACTGGTTAAAATATCAGACTGATAGTAAAAATATTGAGTCTTTTAGTATGATATAAAAAATGGTAGCCCCAATAATAAGAGTAAAGCAATGTTAGTGCCAACATAAATAAACAAACACGGGCAAAAAACATAAATAAACAAATACAGAAATACAATTAAATAATATGACATGTGCAGAGCATAAAAGTTTACTTCTTATAGTAAGGATTTACCTAAATCAGCTAGTTGCTGCTGCTTTCGGCCAGAACCAGGTGGTCTCCCCCTACCCCTTTTCACCGCCGACTCAGTTGCTTGCGGCGGCGTAGGAGACGGAAATCCACTACCGGCGACCTGCGACGGCGGCGGAGGAGAAATCATCCCAGGGTTCGCGGAACCCTCAGAAGCATACTTCCTCGGTCTTCCGCGTTTTCGTTTAGCAGGTTCAATTGAGATAGGGTTTACATTAAGCGGAGCTGCGATAGTGACGGGAGGATCGCCGGCGGCGGGAACTTGAAAAGACGGCGTCGGGGAAGTGGAAGAGGAAATTGGTTGCATCAAAGGGTTGTACGTTGCCGTACGATCATCGGCAGCAAAGGGTGATACTGATCCCAGGTTTTGCATTGATACGTGAACTCCATTGGATTCTCCAACTGACATTTTTTTTGTTTTTCCCTATTTTCACTAATTATTTACTACCAGTATTCTTTACCTATTATTCTATTTATATTTTCAACACAAAACCCTTAAATATGAAAACGACGAAATATGTCTTTAGTTAGAATTGGAGAGATTTAAAGCAAAAGGAAAAAGGAAAAAATAGAAAGGGGAAAAAAGTAAGTTTAGTGTCTTATAAAATAAAGACTATAAAAGAAATAAATTGAATACAAGCATAGAGGGAGATTGATATTTTATTCAATTTTCAAAGTTATGTTCATAATAAATTGAAAACTCCTCTATTTATAGAAGAACGGAAGCAACTGCGAGGCTTTTCAGGAAGCACCTGCAAGATTTTTCTTTAGCTGCTTGTAAGATGTCTGCATGAGCTGCTCGCAAATTGCTTGTTTAATAAGAAGCTGCTGCAAATTATTTCATTGAGTTGCTTGCAACCTGCCTGCATCAGTTGTTTCTATGCTGTCTGCATGAGCTGCTTGCAACCTGTCTGTTTAATAAGAAACTGCTGCAAATCATTTCATTGAGTTGCTTGCAACCTGCCTGCATCAGCTGCTTGTAAATAAACTTCAACAGAGTACTAAATGGATAATCTTATTCAGGAGGATTATCTATAGCGGAGTAATGAATGGACATCCACAATATAATATTTTTATAACACTCCCCCTTGAATGTTCATTAAAAGATAATGTGCCTCGTTAAAACCTTACTAGGAAAAATCCAGTGGGAAAAAACCTAGTGAAGAAAAAAGAGTACACATATTTAGTAATACGCATTTCTAGCTGCCTCATTAAAAACCTTACAAGAAAAACCTATGGGAAAAAATCGTAGTAAGAAAAAAAGAGTACAATGTGTATTTCACTCCCCCTGATAAAAACCTTGTTTCAAATATTTGAGTCTCCGCATTCCAATCTTGTATACCATCTTCTCAAAAGTTGAAGTTGGCAAAGATTTAGTGGAATGTGTTTTGTTCTATCTCCTTTTATAAATCCTCTCTTTCATTGGGCTATGCATGCAGCATTGTCTTCGTATTAAATTGTGGATCTTTTATCACATTCCAAACCACATTTTTCTCGAATGAAATAAATCACTGATCTCAACCATACGCATTCCCTACTTGCTTCATGAATAGCTATTATCTCAGCATGATTTAAAGAAGTAGCAAAAATAGATTGCTTTGTGGAGCGTCATAATATGACAGTACCCCCACATGTAAACATGTACCCGGTTTGAGATCGAACTTTATGGGGATCAGATAAATAACCTGCATCTGCATAACCAACAAGATCTCCACAACCTTTGTTAGCATAAAACAATCCAATATCAAGAGTTCCCTTTAAATATCACAATATATGCTTAATCTCATTCCAATATCTCTGTGTAGGAGAAGAGCTATATCTTGCTAGTAAATTAACAGAAAATGCTATGTCAGGCTTTGTAGCATTAGCAAGATACATAAGTACACCAATTGCATTGAGATAGGGTGTTTCAAGACCAAGGAGTTCCTCATCTTCTTCTGGATGTCGGAACGGGCCCTTATTCACTTCAAGTGATCGAACAATCATTGGTGTACTCAATGGGTGCGCTTTGTCCATGTAAAAGCGTTTTAAGACCCTTTATGTATAGGCAGATTGATGGATAAAGATCTCGTCTGCTAAATGTTGAATTTGCAGACCAAGACAAAGTTTTGTCTTTCCAAGATCTTTCATCTCAAATTCTTTCTTAAGATATTCAATTGCCTTTTAGAGCTCTTCTGGAGTTCCAACAAGATTTATGTCATCAACATAAACAGCAAGTATAACAAATTCTAATGATATTTTCTTTATAAAAATACATGGACAAATAACATTATTTATGTAACCTTCTTTCAACAAATATTCACTAAGGTGATTATACCACATGCGCCCAAATTGCTTTAAACCGTACAAAGATCTTTGTAATCTGATTGAATATATTTTCCGAGATTTTGAATTTGCTTCAGGCATTTTAAATCCTTTAGGGATCTTCATATAGAATTAATCAAATGAGTCATATAGGTTATGACTTACATTTAAATGGCATGACATCTTCAGGTGTCTGGACTACAGGTCTGATCCACACAATCTTTTACAATATTGTGCACTATATTGTATCAAATATATCGTCGACGATCATTTCGTATCAGTTCGCAAGCGACATAACTTGTTGAGATCTCTTCACTTTCTTTATTTTCAGGTACCCGAACTTCTTCTGGAGTTTCATGAAATGTTATGTCGTGGGCTCTTCCAGAGCTTATTTCCTCCTTATTATGATCATTTGCTCCTATTCTTTTCAAGGATTGTTACCTTTGGAATCGATTGGCCTACCATGCTTCATGCGTACAGTAAACTCTATCCTTCAGGGACTTTAATTTTAATAGGAGTATTTGCAACGGAAATATGATATTTAATTTTTGGATCAGCAAATGCTTCTGACATTTGACTTGAATTATCTTCTAAGCGAGGATCATATTAATGATAATTCGATTCATATATCATATTTTCCAACTGTTTTATTCCATCCCCCAAATGTTAGAAAAACTAACTCATATCCCCAATCTTCTTTGGGAAACATATCTTTGTGCATTATCGTAGAGAAATTAATCATTTAGATAGTAAAAATATTTGGTTTTTGATCCTAAACCAATTGTGAGGGAAGGACTTATCATATTTTGTTGGTCTGATGCATACAAATGATGTTGTATGCAATTCAGAAAATCTTAGACCAACACATGAGGTTTTGTTCTCATAAGCAATAGTTTAGCCATTAATAGGAGGTATTCAATGTTAAACTAGCTTGGATATAAACCAGCATCATCAAGATGAACTATCTTGATTTCATAATCTGAAAATTATGCTCTTAATTGAGAAAGACAATTTCAAATGTCAAACTGCAGGTTGACAATAAACATACATGTAGCTATCTTATATATGCATCTATAAGTGGTTCACATGATAGGTGAATGAGCCCATATTCACCTTTTATATATTCCAGAATTCGGAGATTTTAGTCTCAGCTTTAGCTGGTATAATCAAGTTATTATGAGAACAAGCAACACAAGAGAATTCTTGAAGAATCTTCTAGTTCTTCAGTATATGCTTATCTGAATTCTCAAATAGCTCATTTAAAAAATGCAAATGAAAACTTCAAGTTTATCATGGCATGTGCTATCTCTAAGCAAACTTCTGGTTTACTATAGCATAAACTTTTGTATCAGTAAACTTCTGATTTACTGTGGCTACTTTTGTATCAGTAAATTTTTGATTTACTGTGACTGCTTTTGCATTAGTAAACTTCTGGTATATTGTGATACATGATGTAGTACAAATTTGAAGAATAAGGCAGGTATCTTCTCACATACATATTTACCCCATATGATTGTGGAAACATAAAAATTTTCAATCTTTCAATCATTTGTAGTCTCAGTATGATAGTCATATGTATTAATAAACTTCGGTTTATCATAACATATGTTTTGACCACAATAATGACAAATAAGCTCTTCGGGAGCCTTCCATTTATTGTCCACAATCAAATATTATTCAGACACTAGTGTCATGTGTCTTCTAGACAAACATTTAGCTCTTCAGGAGCTTTTGTTGTTCTACCAAATATTGCTCAGACACTGGTTTCATAAGAGAAAATCATAATCAAATGAACAATATAAAGCTAATTCTAAATTTATAAATGACGAAAATTAAGAATTTTAATATTTCTACCACTAACTTTGTGACAAATATCTTCTTCAAGGAGAAATATCATTAACATCTGAATATTTTGTATCAATACGGCAACCACATAGTCATTGCATCTTTTAAGGAAAGATACACGAGTTGTTATTTCCTTCGGGGAACTCAATAACTAACCATAATATATTAATGTGGTTGTAGTAGAAAGCATTCTACAAGAATGCTTTTGCCTTAGAATGATACTTAATAAAATTATCCAAGATGTTTTACGTACAACAGGTACGTGCGACAATGATCTTTATGCCACAAAAATAATATTTATATCATCTGTTATTCTAGCTCTTCAGGAGGTGAGTTGTGGTATTTCTTCATTCACTCCAGGGAATGAAAATGTGCTTCAAAAATAACTTTGAATAGCTCATTATTTTGTTTAAGCACATAAAGATACTGCTTCAAAATATTTTCCTACTTCAAGAGGAAATTTCAATTGTGTTACTTTTTCAGGAGCAAATTTAAAATATGAAATATTGAGTATATATTCTCTCAATCATATTAACTCTTCTGGAGGTGAATTGTAATATATTTACAACAAGAGCGCGTTCATATTTACGACTTTTTTAATATTATCACATTCACTTCAGGGAATAGATTAATATTTATCAAAAATTCTCATGCTTCAAGAAATCGAATATAATTATCTGAACGCACATTAATCATATCAAATTGTGATGCTTCAACCTCTTTTAAAATATTTACTACTTCATGAGCAAATCGAGGCGTGCATGTAATATAGATAATATTTCTCTAGCTTATCTTTAATTGTAACCATAGAAAGCCTAAATTATCACTTCTGGTGGTCATAGGCATATACCACTTCTGGTGGTTAACAAAATTTAGTTACAATGAGATATACGAAATATAACCACTTCTGGTGGTTGTATATTTCTTGCAAACTCTGCTGGAGTTTAAGTGGATCTAACAATGTTATCCACTTTGTAATCCTTTATTAAGATAATAAGGATGAAAACAAATACCAAAATAGGCATTGTACACGTAACATATAACCAAGCAAGCGATGATAAAGATATTAAAATATAAGCAAAAGGCTCAAATTAAATTACGCAAATTTGGCCACTACATATGTAAGTGATATCTACATCACTACTGCCAAGAAGAAAAACTCATCACCTCAAGGATATAATCTGCCTTATGATGCTCGGAATGAACAAGATCTGACCACGGACATAAGAGTGTCGCCTTACATTGGAGATGAACACTGAAATAGAAATTAAATTCGATGTAAGTGATCAAAATGGCAGTCTCGTGCTGATAACGTGTTATAAAATAAAGACTATAAAAGAAATAAACTGAAGACAAGTATAGAGGGAGATTGATATTTTATTCAACTTTCAAAGTTATGTTCATAATGAACTGAAA